TTGCTTGTGTGTTCCTGTTGCTTCCGTGTGTGTGTGTTCCATGTGTGTTTTGCTCCCTCTAGTGGTTGATTGAATATTACACCACAATGTGTCCAGGATATGCCACTGCGGATTTCAAATGCAGGTTTTTACGCGGGACATAAAGCAATGTAATATTGAAGGGACCACTAGAGGGAGCAAAACACTTGTGGAACAGAAACACCCCCCCTCCCCAAGCAACAGGAACACACAAGCGAGGGAAAACTGAATGCGGAAAAGTCTTTACATGGCCTATAAGAGCCTGCACTCAAAGAGTACTATGAGAAGCCTCTCCAAGACTTTGGAGTCAGTTTGGTGTCGTGGCTAAGTGTGCGGACTCTAATCTGGGAGAACCGGGTCTTCCGATATCTTGTGAGTAATGATATATGTCTGAGAGAGAGAGAGAGAGAGAGAGAGAGAGAGAGAGAGAGAGAGAACCAAGAAAGCAAAGTTAAGTGTGCGGACTCTAATCTGGGAGAACTGGGTTTGATTCCCCACTCCTCCACTTGCACCTGCTGATCTGACCTTGGGTCAGTCACAAGCTCTGGCACAGCTGTTCCTGAAAGAGCAGTTTGTGTCAGAGCTCTCTCAGCCCCACCCACCTCACAGGGTGTCTGCTGTGGGGAGGGGAAGAGAAAGGAGTTTGTAAGCCGCTCTGAGACACCTTTGGGTGGTATCAGTCCAATCTCTTCTTCTCTTCTTCTTCTCTAATCAACACTCTCTCCATCTCCCAGCAGGTCTCCCCAACAAAGCAGAGCAACAAGGAGACTCCCAGTTCTTCCCACTCACAGCGGTTTTATGCGTGGACCCCTGGCTCTGCAGGGCCTTCAGCCCGACTCGGTGGACAAGCGTCTCGGCAGGAGAGCAGCCAGGAGGCAGAAGACCACAGTCCCTACCCCAGCAACTGATGATCCATGCTCTTGCCCGGGAAGAGCCCCTCTGCATCCCTGTAGCCTTGACTTCCTGCCGCCAGACCCCAGAGTTCCGCCTGCCAGACCTTTCCCCTTTTATATTCCGCCTGCCTTCCCTTTTCCTTCTCCTAACTCTGTGCCCTCCTTTTGCAGCCCCACACGCATGGAGCTGCCTTCCACTGAATCAGACCCTTGCTCTGTCAGGGTCAGTCGTGTCTGCTCACTCAGACGATCGGTTGGCTCTATAGCGACTCAGGCAGACGTCTTTCCCATGACCCCACTACCTGATCCTTTTAATAATGCTGGGGATTGAACCTGGGACCTTTGGCGTGCAAGGCAGATGCTCCACCACTGAGCCAAGGTCCCTCCCCCTGTAAATGAGAACCAAAGTTGTGCCTTAAATTCAGGCCCGTTGGTTCCAAAGCTCCACCTGGCTCAGCATTTTGTTTCCAGCCAAGGACATAACGGATGTCTCAGGGCGTTCACCAGCAGGGCAATGCGGGTCGTAGTTTCCCCCAGTTCTTTGTCATCTGGTACTCCAGCGTCTGCTGCCCCTGTACATGGAGTTTCCAGTTGCTAAGACTGATAGGATTTTTTCCCTTCTGTCTAATCCTCTCTAAAGGATCGTAGAGGAGTATACAAGAAAATTGCTTGTTGTTGATCACATACCTTTTTCCCAATCGACCCTTCCATACACTCAGTGGGGTGGTATTCAGAGCAGCTTCCGATCCCACTCCCCCTACCTCCAATCCATCTTTGCTTTGAATGGTGACTCCAGAGGCTGTGTTTGGATTATGCTTATTCCAAGGGGGCGGATGCCCTCCTCTTGTGGAGCCAAAATGCACAGTCCGCATACATACCCATTCCAGGCCGTCTATTCATACAGATAGATCCTGAAGCAGTACAACAAATGTAGAGTCCAGCGGCACCTTTAAGGCCAACAAAGGTTATTTAAGGTATGAGCTTTCGTGTGCAAAGCACCCTTTATATAATACATTAGAATGGCAGGCGAGGTTCAGACTTATAGCCAGAGAAGGTTTCATTCATTCATACAGGTGACTGGGATAGCCTCAGGGAGCGCCGATTTCCTGCAGCCATCCTGGAGAGAACTTTCCAGAAGCTGACTGGTAGCTTCTGTGCCATACCCAGGGGCTGAGACAATGTTCCCTCTAAGCGGTGGAGTCTTGTGAACAAAAATTCTACTTTGTGAGCTACTGGCATTCAAGTTGTGAGCGAGCAGTTTGGCTACTGCATAAATTAGTCTGCTCTGGAGCCATCCTTCCTGAGCGAAGATGAAAATCTGTGAGCCGGAGGCTAAAAAACTGTGGCCTAGCTCACACTAACTCAGCTTAGAGGGAACACTGGCTGAGGATATGATTTGTGGACAAATTTTCAATCCTCGTAATTATGACTCTTCTATAGCAACGGAGTCACGGTGTGTGAAAATATTTAGAATCAAAGCGATAGGGTTGCCACAACTTGCCAGACAGGTCCCCTCTGGCCACCAGAGGGGGCAGGAAGCAGGGTTGCCAGCTCCAGGTCAGGAAATTTCTGGAGATTTGGGGGTGGAGCCTGAAGAGGACGGGGACCTCAGTGATGTATCATACCCATTGTCTCCTGGGGAACTGATCTCCGTTGTCTGGAGATGAGCTGTGATTCTGGGAGTTCCTAGAGGCTGGCATCCCTATCTTGCGAGTACATTTATCCCGAGAGCTCTCTCTGGCTCTCACTACCACTCCATTGAATTATTATTTTTTTGCCGCACCTACAAGCATTGAGAAGCTGTGATGTTGGCATTCAGGACTCAGTGGCTCAGAGTACTTTCAGACATGACCAGTGTGTAATGTGAATTGGCCCGCGTGCTCATTTGCATTACAATGGTCCCACTGTCTCTTCTACATTGACAATAATCAGTGCAAAAGCTTTTTAAGCACAGAGGATGATAACACTCTCTCAAGACAGACATGTTCACGCATAATGTAAAGAATTCTCACTGCGGTTGGATATGTGATGTGAATGGAAAACCTATATTGGCCAGGATATTTATTGGCATCACAAATGTCTCTCTTCCCACAATGAGCAGCCATCAGTTTTAGCTTAAATAGCTCAAGAACGATGCAAAGGGATATGAGCTTCACATGTGAACGGACTCAATAAGCACTGGTTCAAATGTTACCTAAAGTAAGGGGGGGAGAAGAAGGGTTTCTGATGAGAGGCGTTAAGTGGTTCTTGCAAATCTTGACCATACTGAGGTGTTTGTGAATTCCAGAAATCCTTTGGAACTCACGGCCATTCCTGCAGGTGCCTCCACAACCGCAGTGAAATGAGGAAAACCCAAACAGGCTCTCGCTGCCTGCAATGGCCGTAACTGGAAATGAGTACTGAAAAGCAGGGAAACCTATTCACGCCCCCCAGAGCAGAGATATTTCAGACAACAAGGCTAAAATGACTGTGGCACTTTCTGTTCTGGTTTTGCTGGGGCCAATATAGATGTAACTTCCCGACAGGATGCAGGAAAGGGGAAATTGTGGCTTGATCTTGGGAGGGTTCACCGAGAGAGGAAGAGAGGGAGGTGAACTTTTTTGGTCTACAAGCAAAAAATGTAGTCCTTCCTGAGCGGGGCTCACTCAGCCTTGAACTGGAGGGGAAGGGAATTTCATATTGTTCTATATGTTTAACTCAAGAGTGTCAATAAAAGTAGCATTGAACTGTGTGTATCTGCAGTTAGGTTTGTACCTGCCAATATCTCTTTTTTGGCCTCAAAAGCGCCATCAGGTGGTCGTGGTTGGTAAAGGGGTCTTTCAGCTTTTTAAACACAAACAGGTGCCAGTGTGTGTTTGCAGTGAAGTTGGTAGGCTTTCTGGCACATTCATATGTTCATTTATCTTTGGCTCACAAACCGTGAATTCAAATCCAAATAGATACAGGTGGGTAGCCGTGTTTGTCTGTAGCAACACAATAAAGTCTGAGTCCAGTGGCACCTTTCAGACCCATGAAGTTTAATTCTGGGTATAAGCTTTTGTGTGCATGCCCACTTCATCAAATACTCTGTGTGCTTGCGCCAATAAGACAGGATTACTACGGTTGGGCACCTCTACAACAGATAACCCCCTGCCAAGGCAAGCCCCCTCTCTCAACAAATAACCACCAATGCAATCTCTTCCTCCCCACCTTCTGTCTCAATAGTGACCCCTTATCTCTGCAATTCCATTACATCACAGTACTTCAGCCAATAGCAAAAGGGAAGCAGCCTGCAGTGCTTTTCAGGGTTTTGACTTCTCTATAAGTTCCCGTAACTTTTCCGGGCGCAAACTGGCAAAAAAAACACCTAGCGTTCCAGCGAAGTTCCATGCTCCACTATTCATTTCTCTCTGACCACATCCTAAAACATGCGTTTGCTAAGTCAGCTATTATGCTGTACAAATCGGGGAACCTTCAGAAATTGCTGAGTGAATAACAGAGACACACACACACCCTGTTGTGCCCCGATACTGCAATAGTGTAACACTGCTAGGCTTTGGGACCGAATGACTAACCTCCTGTTCACCTCGCCGCCGCCCCCATGCCCCAGCAGTCTAGGGCTAGAGATTAATTGCCTGACTCTTGATATCTAGTGCTAAGAGAGTCAGAAGCTACTGTTCAGCCCAGAATGAGAATGGTAACCTTTTCTGTCCTGTGCTGTAGGGGGGTGGAATGCCTCATGGCCCAGATTCCCCTGTGCTGGGCTAAAGTAAACAGTGTCTTTGTTCCCCTTTACTCAACAGAAAGAAAAGAGAGGCGTCCAGAAAAGATGTTTTACTTCCAGGGCATTCAAGATGAACAATGCAAAAATAAAAATAGACAAGCTGCTCAAAAGCAGTCCATCTGTGCAGTCAACAGATATGGAGATTCTAGAAGGCAGTTAATGCCAAGGGGAGGGCTGTGGCTCAGTGGCAGATCCTCTGCTTGGCATGCAGAAGGTCCCAGGTTCAATCCCTGGTGTCTCCAGTTAAAAAGGACCAGGCAGTAGGTGATGGGCGAGGCCTCAGCCTGAGATTCTGGACAGCCGCTGCCAGTCTGAGTAGACAATACTGATGTTGGTTGGACCAATGGTCTGATCCAGTAGAAGGCACCTTCACATGTTCAAATATTCAAAAGTCTTCCTTCAAGCCCCTAGAGGAGGTTCCTCTTGCCTTTCTGGTGCCCTTCAAAAGCTGACGCCCAAGGCAATCACCCAGCGTTGCCTAGTGACCAGGCTGGCCCTGTGTATCCCCAAACCCTAAGATCAACACCCTATTACAGGATGCTATAACATGCTAGAGCTTTGTCCCCGTTTTGGGGGGAGGGGGCAATTAATTAGGATGGAAGGGATTGCATTTCCTAATTTATCCCTGTGGAGAACACCCCCCCCAACCAGTGTTCCCCCTAAGCTGAGTTAGTGTGAGCTAGCCCACAGTTTCTTAGCCTCTGGCTCACACATTTTTGTCTTAGCTCAGGAAGGATGGCTCCAGAGCAAACTAATTAATGCAGTAGCTGAATCACTCACTCACAACTTTAATGCCAGTAGCTCGCAAAGTAGAAATTTTGCTCACAAGACTCCACAGCTTAGAGGGAACATTGCCCCCAACTCTGAGTTTTAAAAGTGTGGGGTTCCCCCCCACCCCGGAAGCGGCAGGGAGCCAGTTCAATTGCCTGCTAGATTACATCTAGACAGATGCTAGTGGACTTGGTGGGAAAGCCAACTAAGGAGTTTGGTGCTAGGAAGTCTCCAGGCGATTCCTGGAGATTTCCCAGAATGCCTTCCAGGAGGGCTCCCAGGATGCACCTGTGACGTGGGAGGACTGGGTAAAGGGGGGGGGAGGGAGTGATGTAAAGTGGGTGGAGACAGGGGGTTAAGAAAACTTCCTTGCAAGGGGGAGGGTCCCTCTCTTTCTTGGAATGCTGCGCTTAAGACAACTTGGAGCTCTGGTCTACAAGCAGGCAGCCATCTTGTTCTGACCACGCGGTCTCCCAGGTAATTGGAATTCACTGCCACAGGAAGTGGTGGCAGCTACAAGCATGGACGGCTTCAAAAGGGAATTAGATAAGCATATGGAGCAGAGGTCCATCAGTGGCTATTAGCCACAAGGTATAGATAGGGACTCTGGGGCAAGTGATGCTCTGTCATCTTGGTGCTTGGGGGGGGTCAACAGTGGGAGGGCTTCTAATGTCCTGGCCCCACTGGTGGACCTCCTGATGGCACTGGTATTTCTGGCCACTGTGGGATACAGAGTGTTGGACTGGATGGGCCTTTGGCCTGATCCAACATTGGCATCTCTTATGTTCTTATGTTCTTAT